TCAGCCATCCTTTCTAGTTCTGTACAATGCAGGTTGTCTAGGCCAGCTTGATAGATCACTGTATAGGAATCGCGGTCCTTTACAACAACGCTCATCACTAACAAGTTCTTTGGCTGACATTCCTCTAGAGGCATCATCTCCAGGGTTCTCCGAAGTAGGTACATGTCTCCACTGTGTCAGCTCCAAAATCTTGGCTACTCTATTAGAGGCATAGGTTTGGAACCTTTTTCCTGAGCTCTGCAGGTACCATAAGACAATGGTACTATCTGTCCAATACACAGATTCTTCCAATGGCATCTCCATCTCTTCTTGCAAAAGCTTGTCCAATCTTACTGCTTCTAGTGCTCCAGCCAACTCCAGGCGTGGAATGGTGGAACCTTTCAAAGGTGTAAGTCTTGACTTTGCCATCATGAGATGGACTGAAGCTGTCTGATCTTCATAGATGGTCAGCAAATATGAAACTGCTCCAAAACCATATTCCGAGGCATCAAAGAAATGATGCAGTTGAAACAGTCTTATGCACTTGTCTATAGGTATAATACATCTGGGAATGCTAAACTCTTTAATGATAGGCAGGTCTCTCATCCACCGGCCCCATTGTTCCTCCAAGTCCTTGGGTAAAGAGTCGTCCCAGCCAGTTCTCAATCGACACAGCTGCTGAAACAGTCTTCTAGCCTTAAGAATGAATGGGCTTACATATCCAAAAGAGTCATACACATTGTTGAGAGTACTAAGCACTCCTCTCCTGGTTCTAGGTTTGTTCTTTATCTGTATATTAAATCTGAAGTTGTCAGACTCAGTATTCCACAGCATTCCAAGTGCACATTCTGTGGGTAGTTTGTCTAGGCTGATATCGAGAGTGGTAAAAGACTTTACCCACCTCTCCTTGCTTATGTTGTTCATCAACAGTGGTGAGTTAGAAACAAACTTTGTTAAATTAAAACCTCTTCTATGCAGTAAGTGTATTACTTGATTTGCAAGAGGTACTGCAGTCTCTAGGGTCTTCACAGATTTCAAACAGTCATCTACATAAAAATTACGTAGGACAGTATTCAACACAGCCTGTGGATACTCTTCTTTAAATTCTTTTGTTACATGCTGTAATGCATAGTTTGCACAACTTGGGCTCCACACCCCACCAAATAGGTGAGATGTCACTCGGTATGTCACTAACGGTCTTCTTGTGTCATCATCTTCAAACCAGAGGAAGCGTAACACATCTCTGTCATCTGGTATCACCTTCACTTGGTGAAACATGGCCTCTATGTCTGCCATAAAGGCAATAGCTCCCTCCCGGAATCTTAGCAGGAATCTACTAACTTTTTTAGCTAAGTCTGGCCCTTGATTCGCATAATCATTCAGGGAAAATCCTTTAAACTTTGAAGCACAGTCAAACACAACTCTGGTCTTGTCTGGCTTTTTGGGGTTCTTAATTGGATGATGCGGCAAGTACCATACCTTGCCATCAGCTCTCTTCATATCTTCAGGAGGTACTTCTTCGGCATAACCCTTCTCAAAGAGTTTGTGAATCTCTTTAATGTATTTCTCCCTTTGGTCTTCATTTCTATCCAGCCGCTTCCCCAGCATCTTCAAACGATTTTCCGCTACAATTCGGTTATCAGGCAGGTAAGGCCTCCCTGTTTTAAAGGGAATACTCAAAGTATAACGACCATCTTCAATTGTTTTGCCATTATCCCAAGTTTTCAAGATCTTCAGGTCATTCTGAGACATTCCAGGCGTTTCCGAGTTAACTCTTTCTATCTCCCACAATCTGCACAGGTCTATCTCCAAAGACGAAGTAGTGTGTACAAAATGTGTGGATTTAACTGGGTTTGAAGGGATCAACTGGACCATTTATGGCCCAGCCTAGTGGTGTGTGAATAGCAAAAGGTTCTCCTGTTTGTCCTTTCCTTACTTTATCAGGCAGTAATAGGTCTGCACAGACCTGCCCTATCAATAGGTGTACCTGATCCACTTCTAGTTCAGGTATTTCTATATCCTTCAGGTGTGGCCATCTGTGAACCTCAACACAGCTTGACAATCCTGATGGGTCAGTGTTCAGCATCAGTCTGACAGTTACTTCTGGTACACAGTAAGGCTTCTTTGTATCATGAAGGTCTGATAGAAGAAGAGTGATTATTGTGGATTTTATAGGCAGTCTTGTCTGAGCAATGGTAGTGAGTTCCATGTGACGGGTCACACCTCTGGCTCCCAGCATCTTGCATAATTCCTCTGTACAATAAGTAGCATTAGTCCCTGGATCCAACATTGCATTGGTGTCAATAATAGTACTTGTGTCTAAACACCTAACTCGGGCTGGTACTATGAGTAAGGCCTGCTTTCCATTCTGACTGCAGGCAAAGTTACTCACTCTAGAGCTCATAGTGAGGTTCTGTGTGGTAGTGCGAACTGTGTCCACATTCTACAGGCACCTGCAGCATTACTTCTGGTATGACTTTTCATCCCATGCAGGGCTCTCGGTGTTCTGTA